TCACAATCATCATCATCATCAATCACCATCACCACTATCACAATCATCATTACAATCATCATTACCATTATCATCATCACCATCACCATCACCATCATCACAATCACCACAATCATCAATCACAATCACCACCACCATCATCACCATCATCACCACAATCAACACAATCACAATCACCACCACAATCACCACCATCCTGACCTCCTTACCCACAGTATCGCCACGATGAGGATCCCGCCCACGACCATGTAGATTCCAGAAGCCACCACCAACGCCCACAGCACGCCCTGGCCTGTGGGTAGAGGGTAGATGGTGAGGGTAGATTTTGGTGTGATGGAGAGGGGGGAGGGAGATGGGGGGGTTGGAGGGAGATGAGGGAGTGGGGGTAGGAGGGAGTAGATGGCAGGAGAATGAAATAAAGGTAGTAAGTAGGTGAGATTAAGTAGATGGTAGAAGATGAGACAAGTAGAAGATGAGACAAGTAGATGGTAGATGACAAGTAGATGGTAGATGGATAGATGAGACAAGTAGGTAGATGGTAGATGAGACAAGTAGATGGTAGATGAGACAAGTGATGGTAGATAGGTAGATTTTGGTGTGATGGAGAGGGCGGGGGGGGAAGGGGGGGTAGGAGGGAGATGGTAGATGGTGAGGTAGATTTTGGTGTGATGGAGAGGGGGGTGGGGGGGTAGGAGGGAGATGGGGGGGGTGGGGTAGGAGGGAGATGGGGGGGGGTAGGAGGGAGATGGTGATGGTGAGGGTAGATTTTGGTGTGATGGAGAGGGCGGGGGGGGAGGGAGATGGGGGGGTAGGAGGGAGATGGTAGTGGTGAGGGTAGATTTTGGTGTGATGGAGAGGGGGGGTGGGGTAGGAGGGAGATGGGGGGTAGGAGGGAATGTAGATGGTGAGGGTAGATTTTGGTGTGATGGAGAGGGGGAGGGGTGGGGGTAGGGGGGGAGATGGTAGATGGTGAGGGTAGATTTTGGTGTGATGGAGAGGGGGGAGGGGGTGGTAGGAGGGAGATGGGGGTGGGGTAGGAGGGAGGATGGGGGGTGGGGTAGGAGGGAGAGGGTGGGGGTAGGAGGGAAATGGGGTTGGAGGGAGATGGTAGATGGTGAGGGTAGATTTTGGTGTGATGGAGAGGGGGGGGGGGGGGGTAGATGGGGGGGAGGAGGGAGATGGTGGTGAGGGTAGATTTTGGTGTGATGGAGAGGGGGAGGGGGTAGGAGGGAGATGGGGGGGGGTTGGAGGGAGATGGGAGAGGGTAGAGGGTAGAGGGAAAGGTGGGTGGAGAGTAGATGAGAGTAGAAGATAGGAGAATGAGATAAGGTAGTTTAGGAGGTGAGGTTAGTAGATAGGGTAGATAAGACAAAGTAGATGGTAGATGAGATTGGTAGATGGTAGATAAGAAAGGTAGATGGTAGATGAGATTAGTAGATGGTAGATGAGACAAGTAGATAGTAGATGAGATTAGTAGATGGTAGACGGTGAGGGTAGATTTTGATGTGATGGAGAGGGGGGTGGGGTAGGAGGGGGATGGGAGCGGGAGAGGGTAGAGTGAAAGGTGGGTGGAAAGTAGATGAGAGTAGAAGATAAGACACGAGAATGAGATAAAGGTAGTAAGGAGGTGAAATTAGTAGATGGTAGAGATGAACAGTAGAATGGTAGATGAGATTAGTAGATGGTAGATAAGACAATTTAGATTGGATAGATGAGATAAGTACAATTAGATGGTAGATGAGATAGTAGATGGTGGATGAGACAGTAGATGGTAGAACGGTGAGGGTAGATTTTGGTGTGATGAAGGGTGGGGTGGGTAGGAGGGAGATGGGGTGGGGGTAGGAGGAGATGGAGCTGGGGAGGG